GTGGAAAGGTGGTTGGGGGTGGGGGTGGGGTGGAGATGGGGGGTTAATGTTTAACAGGGAGAGAGTTTCAGTTCAGGAAGATGAAAAGAACTGTGGAGACGGATGGTGGTTTGGGTTGCACAACAGCGTGGATGTACAGGAGAGGCCAGAAGACCCCCGGCACCCGAGGACGTCAACCTCTCTCCCCCCAAATGACAACTCTGGCCAGATCCGGGAGCTTCCCCGATGCTCTGACACACTGATTTTTTAAATAACAGTAATAATCCATCAACTTGCCCAGGATGATGTACAGTCTAATCTGATTAATATTTGGTAAACGAAGTGCTTTTCAGGGAAATGGCCGGCATGACCTCCCAACAGTCTTTGACTTCACAAATTCAAGGATTTTCTGAGTTGCCCTCAGTATTCTACATTCCAGGAATCAAAGTAAGGACAGACAATAAAAAGGGGGAAGGGGAGAATAAGAAGGCCCTAACGAGAACGTTCAGGGAAAGAGGAGAAAGATGCCCTTGCTGGTTACCTAGGAAATCAGGGAAGGACTGCATGCTATTGGCTGGCTCTGGAGGAGAATTTCAAGAGGCAAAGAGCACCTGGCAACAACAGGGTGTGTATGAGCTGAGGATATTGGGGAACCTCTTTCTTTGTTTTGTTGTTTTCCTTGACCGAACAGCATGAGATTGAATTTAGAATGTTTTTTTCTGGTTAGTTCCTTATACTAGTTAAGCCCATTTGAAAAGGTGGCACTCCCACGTCTCTACAACGGCGGGCCAGCCTCCTAATCCTTCTCCTCCCTCCCTTCCTGCTGTCCCCCCACCACACACACATGCTCACCCACTCACCCACCTCACTAATTCGTTATACAAATGAACAGAACCGGGCTTCACAGAAACTTGCAATAGGGGGTGGGGGGAGGGGCACCCAAGCACACACATCCCATCCAAGCTCCTCACTCTGCTCTCTACCTTGGCCAGGATGCCTGTTCAGTGCTCGTGGGTCACATGGTTGAGTGCTGAGACAGTGATGTTCTCATTTCTGACAACCTGAGGGCTGGGCATTGTGAAGCCCCCGCCATCGGAGAACCAGTGACTAGCCCAGGGTCACAGAGCTCCTCAGGAGCAGCCCCTCCAGGGTCTAGGATTCAGACCCCAACCTCCCAATGGCTAATCCACAGCTCCTCCCAATCAGGAAACTCTGCCAGCCGCAGGGTTGGCTCTGGCTTTGCAAGAGGAGCCAGAAATGATGCCAGGGTTCCATTTCATTTCAGTGGAGACTTCAAAAAAAAAAAAAAAAAAAGGCAAAGCTGGGGTTCCCAACTTCTGGGCACCCCTCAACTCCCAGCTGACCTGGCAGGTTCAAAGTCAGTGTTGACCTCTTCACTCTGTGTCCTTGCTGGGATTCAAGCAAAGAGTAGGTTTTCAATCTGAGGACATGAAATTGGTGCCTACTTTTTCCATAGGCAAAAACCAAAAACTAAACCCTATTTTTCAAATGAGAAGTGCAAACAATTCATTCTTTTGTCCTAGGTCTGTTTATTAAGTTACTGCTCCGAGTGACTCCAAAAAGAGACAACTGTCCTTTCAGAGTGACATGCATCGAGTGAACACTTCCTTGGCCATGGGCACTAGGGTACCCCTCTTTTTCCTTTTAGTGTGCAATTTCTGCAAATTTAGGGGCCCTGTGATTTTCTTGGTTTCAGAATGAGTCACTTATCAGTTGGGACCTGCAGCTGAGTGGAGGGTCCAGAGGTACACATTCATTTCACACTACTTCCTTGTCTGGGCTTAAATGTGGAGGAGGTGTGAATTCTGGTTGCATTTGTAGAAAAAGAACATGTTAATGCCACATTTAAATCAGGTCATGGCAAAATTGTGACTTGTGGCCACATGCCTTTTTATGCCTGTGTTTTCTGCCACCTGGTTGAGGCAAGATTTCCCCACTAGCGTGGGGATGGTGGGGTTTGCAGGGGGGAGTCGGTGCCAGCATCTCTTCACTCAACAGTCACCTGTGCCTGTCTGTTATCAGCAGGATGTCAACAAGCCTCTAGATCCAGGGACAGGGCAAGAAGCCTGCTAGAGAAAAAATAATCTGGAAGGGAGAAGAGCCACACAGCCACCTCCAAAGAGCAAGGGAGCAGACAGCCCTGAGGGGGGATGAGGGACATACAGAAATAGTGCAGCTTTCTCGGGGAGCATCTGCTGCTTCCGCTGGCTCAGCATCCGTGCCCCTTTCTTCTGATGTTTTTTTACTGAGGGAATCATCATCATAGGATCAACAAGTGACCCAGGCCTGGCCAGTCGGCACAGAACACCCCTCTTACAGCAGTGGGCGAGCCAGGCCCATCACTGTCACGGAGCATCGACCCCCAGACTAGAGCTGCAGCTGATGGGAAGGAGCAGCTCCTTCTCCACTCGGTGGTAAGTTGGCAGGATGCGAGCCTGGCGCTGCCGATGGTCATCTACACCTGGAGCCGTCCCTGCCCAAGCCTTTCAGCGACGTGAACAATAATCACCCTTTTAAAGCCAGTCTGAGTAGATTTGCTAACTCATGACCACAAGAATCCTAACATATATTCATTAAAAAAAAAAAAAAAAAAAGCACATGAATTACATTTTTTATGCTCAATTTCCAGACAAGGAAACTGAGGTACAGAGCTTGGGGAGACCGCTCAAGGCTCACAATAAACCCAGACATGACTGCAAGGCCAGTATCCCATCTCTTAGCTCCTCCCACATTGACACTGTGGTCTGACACCCTTCCAAGTCATGGGAGCTAACAGCTGCCCGGTTTCACCCAAACACAGTCTAAGGAGAGAACACCCACCAGCCGCACCTTAAATCTGAGAACAACAAAGAGATCAAATACAACATTCATAAAGCCCCATCCACCTGAAAGCTGCCGCTGCCCAGTTAGATGTCTCTTTGCTGGTCAGGCCTGTGAGAACTGTATTTATTTAGGTTGAGCCGGGTGGGAAGATGACAGGTCCATGATATTTTGGAATGACTACTGTGTGTTTGAGAAAACAGGAGGGCACCAAAATGTCAAGGGGGGTTGCTGAGAGTCATGTTCAACTAAGCTCTAACATGAGCATCAAATGTCCAAGCAAAACCTCCGCGCGAGATCCCTGGGGTCCTGTCTGGTACAACCTGGCCGAGTGAGCACCCAGAACACAGGTTTTTGGAGGCTGGTGCACGTTTCTCCCCTTGCCCCCGGCACAGGACAGGCAGGCTCAGCATCTGGGGAGTCATCACCCCAATCCCAACAGTGAACTGGGATGGCAGCATGGCTGAGGCACAGAAGCCCCACACGCCAGGACCGGGCCGCTGGGCTGACTCACTTCACTGTGTGATTGCAGCCAAGCCTGCCCTGTCCACACCAGGGTTAGTCATGGCCAGGCCTGGTTTAAGAGCAGCCCTTAAAAGGATTGGAATGAAAGAGGTAGCATCTTTCCAAAACAAAATCGACAAGAACACAGCGTTCAAAATGGGGCGAAATCCTCCTCCTTTCTCCCTAGTGTGGCCACAGGACAACTAAACCCCAGGGTTTACACAGTTTTCTCCTGTGTTTAAAAAAAAAAAAAAGAAAGAAAAAAGAGGCAAATAAGCCAACTAAGATGGCTTGCTTACCTTGCATTTGCCCCTCACCTCCCCACCAAAGTCATACTTGTTGGCATCCGTGTCCTGAGCCAAACAGGAATTCCTATGTCAAAATGGTTCCTGTGCACTTTGAACAGAAATAAAAGCATGCTGGGGATCTCAGCCTTAAAAAGAGGGCCGGGTGGCACCAGAGAGATGCTTTGGTTATACCTATCAAAATGGGATCGTGGCATTTCCTGAGAACTGCCAAGAAAATCAGAATGCGGCCAGCAGGGTGGGGACAGGGCGGGTTTTGGCTCCATAATCGCAGCAAACTCCCCAAAACAAAGGAGTTCCCGGTCACTGATTTACGGAGCTACTCCATTTCCCAGCTTCAGACCCCCCGGAATAGGGACTCACACAGTCCAGACCGATGGGCCAGCAACAGCTGCTGGCCTTGGAGGATTCACTACCAGCCCCACACCCAGGAGGACAGCCCACAGCGGGAGCTGAGGACAGCCCGAGTCTGTCCCACGAGCTGTGGTGGGAGCTCAGGCCCAGCAAGCAGAGCCCCCATCCCACTTCTACCCCATCCGCTGCTCCACCCCGGGTGCCCGGGGCCGTGGCCAGACACCCCATCTGTGTGGTTGTGCGCCCAGCCCCAAAACAAGAGCCTGCACAGCTGAAGCTTGCCTAATTCCGGAGCAGACACTGCTCTCCAGATCGAGAAGGTATCAGCATCTAAGCCAGAGGAAGGTGGAAATTAAACCAGAATCATCCCCAACACGAACCAAAAAGAGGAATGAATGATTCTGCTTTTTGAGCACATGTGCACCAAACCCTGGTGTACCTCACTCTTAAACAGACAGATTTGGACAAATCTTAATGTAAGAATCTCGGGGATTATATTTGACTGTTTGATTCCAAAAAACATAATCGTATTAAAGGTATATAATCTCATTCAACGCGGGTTTTCTCCCTGCAGTGCACTGGGAGTAATGACTCGTGTCATTAATCAGCATCGCAGGTGACGGGGACTAACAGAACTGCAATTAACATGGGGAGGGCAGTAACGCAGCAGATGCTTACGACACAGGCCAGGCACTGCTCCGAGCATGGTGCACGTACTAACTCATTTAATTCTCGTAATGACAAAGTAACTACCATCTGCTAGCTTCTGTTTACTGATGGGGAAACCGAGGCATGGGGTTTCGAGTAAAGAAGCCTGCTCTGGGTCACCCATGCAATGTAGGCAGGCCTTGCAGTGGACCTGCCCACAGCTGCCTGCAAAGGGCTGGGCCCACAGAGTGAGGTACACCAGCGTCGGGAATGGACAGACGCGCCCACGGACACACAACGGGGACCAGACACAAGGGACAGCCTGGCTCGTGGCACAGGCAGCAGGGTGGCGTTCACGGGCGCACTCACCTTCACTCTCCCCACTCGTCCTGATGCCTTTTGAACCACCCTCAGTACCTTTAGTCTTCTCAGCGTCTTCCTGGGTGTCCTCGGCGGGCCCCTTCTCCTCCTCGTCTTCCTCCCCAACGTTTTTGTAGTTGGGTCTCTTCTGCACCCGCCTCTTGCCCTTGTGCTTGTTCATCTCAAGAGAGCGCTCTAGCGTCTCGGTGGGCTTAATGAAGCACCGAATGCTGGGCTTGGCCTAGGGAAGTCAACACACGGATTGGAACCTTGGAATCTCGCCGGACGCCATCGTCAAGCTGCCTGAGAGTTGCTGCCCCAAGGAATTCTATTTCCGAAACAAAAAAAAGGCTACCTCCTACTTTGTCATCAGGACTGTGACTAACACCACTGTTGTTAAGTCATCAAAACATTAGCACCAGCTACCATTTATTGCCCACCGCCCTAAGTCGGAAACTCTGTACTTTACCAACACCAGCCCTGTGCTTCCCAAAGGCCCCTCACTTGTCTAGGAAACACACTTCTGGTTAACACGTTTAGGGTACTTTGCATGTGCCAGATGCACTCTAAGGGCTCTGACTGTACTAGCCTACTTGAACTTGACAACAGCCCCATGAGGTCATCCTGTTGTTTCCCTCCCTTTACAGATGATAAAACTGAGGCTCAGAGGTGGTAAAGGACACATCCAAGGTCAAAGAGCCAGGGGGCAGCAGAGCTGGGATTCAAACCCACATACCATCCGCCCAGTTTAGGTCTTAAGTACAGCATGCGGGTGTTATTGACTTTTTAAAGATTTTATTTATTTGAGGGGTGCCTGGGTGGCTCAGTTGGTTAAGCAGCTGCCTTTGGCTCAGGTCATGATCCCAGGGTCCTGGGACCGAGCCCCACGTCCAGCTCCCTGCTCAGCAGAGAGCCTGCTTCTCCCTCTCCCTCTGCCTGCCATTGTGCTCTCTGTCAAATAAATACATAAAATCTTTAAAAAAGAAAAAAAGATTTTATTTATTTGAGAGAGAGCGAGAGAGCACACCAGCAGGGCGTGGGGAGAGGGAGAGGGAGAAGCAGGCTCCCCGCTGAGCAGGGAGCCCAAGGCAGGGCTTGATCCCAGGACCCCGAAACTATGACCTGAGCCAAAGGCAGCCCCTTAATTGACTGAGCCACCCAAGCACCCCTAACTTCTACTTTAAATATATTTACTTTAAAAGAAGCTGTATACTGGGGCGCCTGGGTGGCTCAGTCGTTGAGCGTCTGCCTTCAGCTCGGGTCATGATCCCAGGGTCCTGGGATCGAGCCCCACATTGGGCTCCCTGCTCAGCAGGGAGCCTGCTTCTCCCTCTCCCACTCCCCCTGCTTGTG